AGTTGCGAACTCAGCGAACGCAGAATTACCGCTACGCATCTTTTCGATGCAATCTCGTACTCGACGATCATTGCGCGCCGCTTCTCTCGTTCGGTATATATATATAGTCTTGTTTTTAGAGTATATTTCTAAAAACATCTCTACCTAAAACCATCAGAATCTACAATATCCAGTCAAAAGCTAAACCACAACGACAGAGCAGCCAAAAATGTAAAGGTCCAAAAATACAGACAGGAGATTATTCAATTTCCAAGCGAAATGTCAACTCAGGACAAATAAAGTTATCTACAAACGAAAATGTGCATCGTTCAAAATTCGGGTCATATATCATTCTCGCGGCAAAAAAAAATAATGACGCGACAAAGAAATCGTCAGCAATTCGCCGTGCTGATCGAAGGAAACCGACGCCACGACCTTTCCAAAACGTAATCAGACGTCGTTTATTAACGTGACGTAGCGTGAACAGAAAAGCGCGAAGATGTCCGGCGACGATTCAACGGCGATCTGTCATGTACCGAATCGCGTTCTAAACTTCAGGGCTTTCGGTATCGACACGTCTGCTTGAACATATCGTTCCTGGCGGAACACTGTACCGCCGAGAACTATCTGTAGGGCTGAAGGAATGCTTATTGCTTTAGGAGCAGCCGAGACGAGTGCAAACGCGCCGACGCACAGTGATCCAATTCCGTGTGTTTTCTAATACAAAATAATTTAAGATATTTATTAACACTTACTCTTTATCACCTATTTTTCGTTGTGCAACTATTATCAAAATATAACATTGAATATCAGTAATTAGAATATGTAACCAAGTATCAAGTATATCATACAATTTGATGAGAGTTCCTTGACCTGATTAAATCGCGCGTGTGTGTGTGGATGCTTTGTTAACGCGGTGCGTGAATGGAGTGATTTTGGTGTATTGAGTTAAGGCTCCTGGCCCCTCGCATTGTCTATCTCTTTTTAATGACGTCAGAAGCGAGAAAATGTATGCTAAAAATCCTTGCGTAATACATTGAAATAAAAATACATATCCATAAAGTAACACTTGCAATCGTTTGAAAAAATTTGTAAGATATTCCGTGCACTCCCTTTTTGCTCTAATATTCAATAATTTATTGTAAATTAATCTGAATAGAAATAAGCGAAGAAATAGGTTAAGAAGATGAATTTATGTCACATTTACGTTATTAAATTAATAATTTACGACAAATTATTGATTGTTAGAGCAAAAGGGGAGTGCATGGAATATCTTACAAATTTGTTTAATCGATTACAAATGTTACTTTATGGATATATATTTTTATTTTAACGTATTTTTTTAATTTATTTATTTTAACGTATTTCGAAGAATTTTTAGCATGCATTTTCTCACTTCTGACGTCATTAAAAAGAGATAGACAATGCGAGGGGCCAGGAGCCTTAAGGAATTAAATAGGGAGAACTGAGTAGAAATGAGTGCATGGATAATGTGTTAGTGAAGACGAAACGAGACATTAGATAGAAAAGCAGGATTCAGGGTGGAAAAAGTGCACTGGAAATAGAGGTTATGACGTCATAACGAATGGGTAATTAGAGTAAAAATGTGGGCAATCTTAATTTAGTATGGTAATGCAGCGGAAATTAGATAGATGAAATGTATAATAGGTAATAATAGAAGACAGAAATGAAGAGGAAAGATCTGGTCATGGGATGAGAAAGTAAAATAAAGGTAATATACGAAAGAAAGGTGACAGAAAGACTGGTGGGACAAGTAAGATGTTGTGCAAGTAAAAAGGGTGGAGAGTGCAAAGAACAAGGGGGATTTTTGTAAGAGAACTCTTTCTTGGCGATGTAAAGCTGAAGGAGACATATAGGAAATGAAGAAAAATGTGGAGGAATCATCTGATGGTGCCCTAATAGGAAGTGCAGAGTGGAGTAATGAAACTAATAAGATATGAAAGAGAAAATTGTGGAAAGAGGATAAAGGATAACTTATAATACTTTGAAAAGTTCGTGATGACATAAAGCGATCAGAATATCTGTGACAAAGAACAAAAAGTGGTTTCAACGGCTCTGAGATTAAAAATCGATAACTATTATAGGCTCTTATGGACCCTATCGATAGGTTCCTTTTCTTGACCTTCGACAAAGCATTCCAAATTCTTTCGTGCTGAGACACCGAACCGGATCACTGTATGACGACGCACTGTACACAATGCGAGCAGCTTGCATGACGTATTTTCGGCTGTTGCGCGTTTCGGTAGGGACGTGTCGCGCCGACACTTGTAATTAACGAGACGGACGGAGAGTTTAGTGAAAAATAACGTTTTTATTACGAATGTATTTAAGTTATCTTACACACTCTTAAGCTCGACGAACTCGACGTATGTACACAATATGCGCTCTTAACTATATTACAAATAAATATATATCTCCGCACATACAGGCATACAAGGTTATGGTCTCCGCGCGGCGATTACGCAGGATTACGCGACGCTCCCTAGCCTAATTAACACGCAAGGCCCTAGTGCGGGCCCCGTCCAAGAGAGGAGCTCGGAGGAGTATCGCGCGCCGTCGCGAGAGAGCGCGGTATCAACAATACAATAAATTACAAACGACACAATATCGAAACCGCATTATTATATACACGCTCGAACGCGACGGTTATCGATGAGCGTACTCCACCGAGCAGAATTTAATTTCTAGATTATTAATCTGCATTATACTTCGGACGGCACGCGCGCGGCACGGGATAATAGAGAAATATCGATAATTGCACGGATGGGACACGTTTGATTAAACGCTACACGACTTTCCCGCATGGATTTTATAGTAACTCACACGGGGCCAACAATCAAAACACGATAATTGTTTATGACAGAGGCCATGATGTCGTGACAACGTGCACGCGAGGATATGCGCGATTTGAAATTGATTGCAGAGTCAATCCCGTCGACGTTCCGTCGCGGAACAGCCGGTGTTTTGGTGATTCGTTCGAAGGAGCCGTGAGAGCGCGAGCGCAATATCCGAGTGGTTTTTTGGATTGCTCAAGTAAAAGGTGCCTCTCTCAGTATAATCCGTTCCTGATGAGGTCGAGTAAAACACTGAGGGTGTTATTACATGAAGCGCGGAAACGCGGAAGACAAAATCTTACTAGATTTCCGCGTTCCGCGAATTGAGTCATTTCTTCCCGTACATTGAAAAAGCGGAAGGCCCAAAACTTTTTTCTATTGTCTTTTCATCCAAGGTATGAATTTCAAAAAAATATCAGGTCCGAACATGTTTGAACACGTTTTAATGTAATGGCGGTTAGGTTGAACAACTTGTGATAACTTGTGACAACTTGTGACAATGGATTTTTCCGCGCTTGTTCCGCGACTTTATTTCTCTTTATATTACATGGAGCACAATTTGCGCGGAAAGGCGAAACGGTTTGGTGACAAATAAACATCTGTATTCATTTTTTAAAATTGTATTAACTTAATTTATTGCAATTTTTACTAATATGTTTATCTTTTCAGCTTATCTGTTGAATACAAGCATTTTAATTAATAAATATTTAATTAAAAATTAATATTTTATAATTCCCCATACCGCTTTTCCGCTCAAAATATGCCTCATGTAATGTAAGGCAATCAAAACAGACGCGGAACGCGTAGCGGATCTAGTAAGATTTTGTCTTCCGCGTTTCCGCGCTTCATATAATGGCATCCTGAAATGTTCTGAATATTCGACGCAACGTGATAAAAAACAAACGACCAGCAGTGTCGAGGATCGCGTAATCCCCCGATCGAACGATAAACGCTATGAGAATCAACTCTAAAAAATGGAAATGTGATCAGGAGATTCCTGCGGAGGAGGCTCGCCTTCTCTCGCGTCTCTCTCTCTTTTTCTTTCTCACACACACGTACACACATTCACTCACTCTCTCGCAAGCATTTTTCCTCTTTCGCACTATCTACTTTAAGATTAAGACACGACAATGCAAGTGTGCTAATACTATCTTTCTGTGCAGCGTGTGTGTTTGTAACGTGACTATATGATGTGTATGTATGTGTGTCTGTGTGTATTTAAATTATGTGGCGTGAGCGTGTATAGGTAACACGTACAACTACACAGATCTCAGAAAAATATAGACTCATCCGGTCGGTTCCTCCTCTAGCTAGGATCTCGCCTGACATGTCGAATTTGTACGAACAGGCATGCCGGACGAACGTGTCAAACGCACCCCGTGCGCCTGATGATGCGTGGCTCGCAAAGTGGCTGAGTGACCTACGCGACGATCTGACAAATGTAACTATCGTGTCTCCTCGTCTGTGAGCTCCGCGCTCGCGGAACACGCACGTATACGGGTCGCGTCGAGAGGCGATCATAAATTTCCTATTATCTCGTGTAACACCAATTTCTTCTCGATTACATTTCCAACCAGACGAAATGAATACCGTGAATTATATGCAGAGCGACAAAAAGATAAATACAAAAGACACTCCTCCCTACAAAGCCACGTTGTGATGTCGGGATTGAACGGGGCTTCGCACGCGAGCTGTGTCGGATCCGTTCATTTCGCAAATATTGAACGTACGTGGCCGCCAAAAATAGTGTAGCCGCCAACGCGAAAGCGCGATCCCCTGCGGCCCACGGAAAGGGAAAATTAGTTTGACATACCTAGCTCGCAGCTTCATCGCCAGTCGGCTCTAGCCGTGTGTTTTCCGAGGGCGATCGGATCCGAGGCTCTGTGTTGCGAACTCTCGCGACTTGGACGAGTCGTAATAACGCGTTCTAATATTTGTTCTAATGTCTCTTTACTTTCAATGAATTCCGCACTCACTCGCTCCCTCGCTCGCTTGCGGATTCGAACTTCGCGTTCTCGCCGACGAAACACCCGCGCTTCTATCTCGAGCGAGGAAACTCGCTCGCCGGGATTTCGTCCACGATTCTCCCTCGGAGCGAGGAGCAATTCCTCGCTTAGACTCTTCTGCGCTGATCTCTCTCTCTCTCTCTCTCTCTCTCTTTCTTTCTCTTCGTCCCGCTTCTTCTTTCCTCAGGTCGATGCTCGCGAATCGATAGATCGCGATTATTCGACGAAATTGATTTCAGGGCGACGATAGTTCGTTCGTTCGTTCCGCACGAGCGCCCTTTTCCGAAATCGAGGCGGAAACGTGCCGGAAAGACACGTTTGCCTTCTTCTTCTTCTCTCCTCGCTATAAATCTCACCTCCGTCTTTCTGTCGGCTATCCACGGTTACTCTCCTCCACCTCCTCCCTCGCCGCCGTCGTCCTTCCGAGCGTCCGGAATCCTCGCGAACTCGTCGAAATCGCTCGCGAGCGAGCAGGGCTGCGAGAACGCCTCGGGTCGTCCTCCGAACGGAGGCGGCTCGCGAGGAATCTCGCCGGTTAATAATGGAGTATTTTTATTTCGTTCTTATCGCGATGTCGCGCGCAAAAAAGTCAAGTCAGTCTTGCGTGGCGATGTGGCGCGCGGAATCAGCGGGTCGCGATTTGTCGTCGATCGAACGAACCATCGATCGATCGATCGATCCTTTCATCCATCGCCGTTCTCGGCTGCTGTCCAGCACATCGCGTCGCGATCGTATCTTCTTTTATGTACCATTCGCAAGAGATCTTCGCGACGTGCACAAGAGAAACGTAGTAATGATCCTTCCTCCGATTCTTTTTCGCGCTTTCGATGCTCTCTTTCTTTCTCTCTCGTATATATTTCTGAAGTGTCCTATTTTCCTTCCCATCGACTCTTAATACTGATCTCTCGGCTGTTGCTTACTTACCGTTTGCGATCGATTAACGTGATCTCTCGCGCCATCTCGTAAATGAAAAATATCGTCCCTTTGAAGAAAGGAACGTTAGTTCTTCTCGCTGCGCTTCCCTCTAGTCCTTCGCCGCCCTCGAATCTCTCTTGCATCTAATGCTCTCTTTGTTCCCCGTCGACCTCTCTCTTTCTCTCTCTCTCTCTCCCTCTCTTTCTTCCTTTCCTTTTCCATCGGCCTCTCTTCGAGCACTTCGAAAATAAGGAATATATTCTCTCTGAAGCGAAGAATGATAAAAGCCGCATGGCCTCCCTCTCCTTCCTTCCGCGTCGGGCCGTGTCTTAGGACGACGCTCGCGTTCTCCCCATTTCGCGTGCCCCTCCTCCTCCTCTTCCTCCTCGCTATTCTTCTTCCCCTCGATTCCCTTTCTCTCGCTCCCTCTCGCTTCCTCCTTCCCTATCTTTCGAAGGTAAAAAATGATCCTGATGCGGCCAATTACGTGAAGTATCTCATAAGAAGAATAAGCGTCATTGGCATAATGGCGGGCAGATACAGCATTGAGCTACCGCTGTGCGTGTTGCACTCCTCGTGCGTGTAGGGCGTGCAGTGCGCCTGCAACACAAACGGACGGAGATTCGTCCCTCTTTTAGAACAGCCGTGCGCTCGTTATCGATCTTACTACTCGCTAAAATCGCTCCCTATCCGCCCGATTCTCCTTACTCCCGAGGCCTCTGCGCACTTTTACTTCGAGCAAAGTATCGGCGACATATAAAATGGAGAAAAGGGGACGCACACGTTAAGTGAGAAAACTCAGAGATAAATTATTATTGGACGATATTTTCATCGGTATGAGATGAGAAACAAATCGCGTGACACGCAATACTCTCAATATAAACAAAGAGGCACTTACTCTCGATCCTTTCGACAACACTAATCCGTAACGGGTTTATGAAGTATACGAAACCGCAAATTTCTCCTCTTCGTATAATAATCGCCGATATCAAATAAATACAGAGACAAAAGGTTTGCTTGAACGAAACTGTTCATTAGACAGGGCGAACTCGCGCTGCGGCGAAGAAATCTCCCCGAAAGATCAAGCCGGGCTTTTCGGACAGCGCCCGCACGCGATATTGCGATGGCAAATGAAACGGTCACGAGCTGAGCTATTAGCTTTGATAAATCCTTCCGCGACGAAAGGTGACGAAAGCCGGGCAACGTAATATGATATAACACTCACCTTCATTAGCGAGCTTGACATCCTGTCGAGGAATTCCTTCGTGAATCGCGCTGTATCATCGCCACACTGACGGCGTACCGTATGATGAGAGCATTCCAAGTATTCCTGGAAGGCGCTGCACAAACATACCCCAAAAACTCTGTACCAAATTTCTCCTCTTGACAAATTACATCGGACAAAATATTAGCGGCTCGATTAACGCCCGAGAGATCGCGAACAAACGCGATAAACCTCAAAAACGCGCTCGATATCGTAATTCCGTTTGAAATCGAAAGACAATTGACTGGTTTACGCAAGAATGAATCCGATCCACATGAGATACGTTTCGAGAAGAATGAAAACGAACATTTGATACATAATTGGACAAATATAGGCAGCACTGAGGTTCTTTGTAGTCGCCTGAAAAGTCAAGCATAGTCAATTTTCTTCTATTTAAGGATGCTTATTGATGAAAGTTTAACTCTTAACATAAATGAGTAAAAAAGATGTAACTAGTAAAAAATGACACAACTAGGAAATAAAAGCTGTTCTTTAATTAAACTCAGGCACCCATGAAGCTTGGATCTTTTTCAAGTTTTGTTTTTGTGGAAAGACGTGTGGACTATTCACTGATAAAACAAAACTCGAAAATCATAATTTTGCAAGTTGGATCATTCTTGCATAATCGTAGTCAATTAACTCTGGTCTAAATTCCCGAAACGACTTCTGAGACAGCAGCCCCCAGACCAAACCCGTCGGATTGCCGTGTGCGAAACGTCAATTCTCGATTATTTACTCGGGGAGAACGTGCATTTTTCTAAGACATTTTCAGAAATTCCCAACTTGGCGTGGAGTTTTGTCGTCGATTTGTTTAACACGTTAATTCGATTCGCCTACTTTCTTCCACGGTGCACGGCGACGACGGCGACTCTTTCTACCTGCGGAGCCTAATTGGATTTCCGTGGGGGAACAAAATGACGCGAGAAATGTGTTTTTGCGGATCCGCGTTATCCACTTTTGGGTCAGCGTACTTATGTCTCTGTCCTCTTCCGCCACTCCTGCTCCCTCCCCTTTCCACCCTCTCCACCCTTTCGAGGGATGCGCAAGTTCAAAAGCTGCAGTAGACCGTGGCAGAGATACGCTAATGACATTACCCCCCTGTGTGTACCAGGCATCAGCGTGAAACTTCCGACCTAAAGGACTGATTACACTCTTTTTGCGAGTCCTTTGAGCAACGCCGTCGTTATTAATGCAGTTGTTTCGTCGGTGAGCTTTTAAGTGTTAAATTATCACGGCCGAGAGAGACCTCACTCCCTCGGGACGTCGGAATTTCGAGTATTGTTTCCCCGCCCCTTCCCCGGCTCCAAATCTATTTGTCAGGTTTTACGTTTTATCTCTCTCTCTCTCTCTCTCTCTTTCTCTCGCGCGTCTCGTATCTTAACTCGATTCTTCCCTCGCGTCGACGTTAGCGTCGACCTGGAAGGGCTCCGGCCCGGGCTGGTCAGTTCTCGAGGGATCGTTACACTCGAAACGCAAGAATACGACACATGGAGGGCACAATTGTCATACATACATATAACATGTGCACTCCATTCGTGCACGCCGGCTCTATTGTCCCCTTCTTAAGGCGCTCTCGCGGCGACTCTGCGATATGTGCTCCTTAACGAGGAGCGATTCGCTTCGCACGGTCAATACGTTTCATCGTCTACTCCGTCGATCAAGGGCCGAATGACCATCTACGTTTGCTAAGTAAATTCTCGCGCACGAACACATTCCTTTCTCGCGCGACAAACGCCACGCCAAGCCACTCGAGCTTATTTTCACACGGAGAAGCGCCGATAATCCGCGGCCGCGCATTCAGATAAAATAGTCAAGGTAGAATCTACATTTTCAAGAGTAGCTACAGGTCAAATTGACTCGCGCTTTGCCTTACCAGAGTTTACCTCCGCGTAGCCGAGCTAACAAAGTTTGTCGGGCAAGCAAATGGACGTGAGCGCGCTCTGTTTACAAAGATGTGCGAATTCCGGTAAAATATAATATCGGTTTCGTCGTCTAACGTCAATTTCACGGGCTAATTAGATGTATTAAAACGTACAATAGTAGCCGATGCGTACGGATATTTACTTGGTATTCACTCCGATGAGCCGCGCGGTAACGATAATTGCTGTTTTATTTGACTTACCAGCATAGGGACTTGAGGGAGGATCCTTGGCCATCGGTATGGTTGGTCCTCTCGATCTCTTGCGTGATCTTCTGGTACTTCTTGTAGCACATCTCGTACTCGTCCTTGACTTTCTGCATGCACGGTGCGTGTCTGAGGAATTCTGCGAACAGAAAGTCGCGTTGAGTACAGAATTTTCTCGCGAAAACGTGGAAAACTATGGATGGAGAGATTTCGCATTCAACATCACAGAACAGAGAAAAAAACAGAGCAGCACGAGCGAGGAGCGAACACTGATTTCGACAATTAATAAAGAAATCGCCTTAATTTATAATTGCACGATAATTGAGATTGACATTTCGAAAAGCTATTACCACACGATCGATCGAAGCGTACATCAGTTATACCATCTCGTGGCGTATTAATTGAAATTCGCCGACCCTTCTGTCACTTTCAATTCCCTCTTCGGAAAGATAACTCGAATAAATGTTTACGCGATCAATAATTAGAAGAGTAGGGAAGACCGGAGACAGTTGACTATCGAGGTGAGTTGACAGGTGAGTTGGTTACCTCTATTACTTTCTAAGAAGTTACAAAATTAAGCAAGCAAAATTTTTAAACATGTCAGTGATGGCTTTGCAATCCCTGCTCGCTTGATTCTGAAATCTGTTAAATAACGGTAGAAATAATCGATTTCGACAACTTATCCCGCTGGCCAAATAGCCTCTACACGTGAACTGATGCATCTGTCCCAGTTAAGCTTCGTGACAGCTTTACCACACTGAGAGAAAAATGTATGATATTTGGAACATAATGGCATAGTAAAAAGATTATAGTTAGGAATATCTTTTTTATAATAAATGTCACTATAATGTTTGTAATATTTACAATATAAACATAGTATAACTGACTCATGTAAAACTTTTACCAAGAATTATAATTATTTGGAATAAAAAACATAGTAAAGTAGCAAATATTAAATGGTAAGAGAAATTAACTATTTTATATAGTCAATACAATTGGAATATTTGGAAAATACTTGGGAAAATATTTGGATACATGTAACTATATCGCCAAAGCGTGCTTTACTATACACACAGAGTAATAAAATGGCGACTATAAATGTGTGTTCATTCTGCTATATCTTCGTGTTTAGATGAACTATAAATATATGTTTGAGGCCAAAACGAACTATAAAATATATTAAGATTATAGTTATTCCAACTATTTTTTTCTCTCAGTGCAGACGATAATGACGGCCGTTTTCCCGGTCTTGTTTACGACATAAGAGCTTGTATCCATCGTGCGCGGCTGATGGTAGCCGGCATGAGGAATCGATGCGCTACTCCTTGCTAACGATTCATTATGTTCAGCCTCTCCGGCTGAGAGTACATTATGAAGAGTCATGCCGGTTCGATCGACCCGCGGACAATCTACGCGATATTCCTGTAATCTCGAGAGTGCCGGATGCATTATTGAGTCTAGTACTATCTCCGACTGGAGACCGACAGTTTGGAATTGCATTGATGCTGCTTGCCCAATTGGCGATGGGCTTTGTCGGGCTGGCGGACTTTACACGTTATTACTCTCGCCGATAACGTGAGATCTACGTGAACCGGCGGAATGCCTGAAATGCGGGTCACGACCGAACCGAAAAAAATCCCGATTGCATTTCGATAGAAGGATTGGTCGTAAAGTGACCGTTTGCGATAAAGGACGTAACAAGTGCCCCTTCTATCCTCTCCAATCGTTTATCTCTGTCGATTTTCTATGCCTTTCTCAAATTTCATTTTCGCTTTCCCTAAAAATATATGAATGCACTAATGTTTGTATTATATCGTGCACATAAAATGTGGAAAATGTAATTAGAAAGATGTGTTTACTGTCGCTTCCTTTACATTGGCTCGTTTCACATACTGAGAGAAAAAATATTAAAAATAATATTCATTCGCGGTGAGTATTATAGTAACATATTGAAGCTAAATTCTTTTATTTAAGCAGACAATTGCTTTCACAAAAAGGCTTTGTTTACACCGAGAAAAAGAAATATTTAAAAATTGATTTGGATTCATTATAAAGTTTCTTCGCGAAAATAAACTTTATATCTCACACGAATAAATTCAAGTGTTTTTTCTCAGTGTAAGAAAATATATACTTCCTTAGGTGGGAGAAGTGTGTTTTATATCAGTATAAGTAAATATGTGTAAATAAATATATCATTAGTACCCACCGAAATAAATATTTCTTATTTCTTAGACATTTTTTTATGCTCTCAGTGCACGACAAATTACCATTGACTGATTGTGATTCCGCGGAGAAGCAACTCTCGACAATTACATCACGACTTGAACGAACAATATTCCGAATCAATTCGATAATTTAAGCTGGAGAGCTTAAACTCTCTTAACTTAAGACTCACCGTCTTGGTACGGACCGTCTTGGCAGAGCTCCATGATGGCCATGTTGGTGCCGGTATAGAGCGCGTTGAAGTGATCCCTCTCCTTCTCCTTCATGCAATTGATCGTGTACCTTTTGATGCAGTTCATACCAGCCTCGAGGTCCCTGCGACAAAAGCAAAAAAAGATGGCCCGTTATTTAGATGCTCGCTGCGGATTTGCATTTTGGGACCGACGGTAGAAGGCTGTCTAGAAGGATGTCCCCTGACTTATTAATAGAGGCACGCTACACGAAGAACTGCGCACACCGTGGCTATATACGTACTTCGCGAAGTCTGGCGCTACATTTAAGCCGACGATAACAACATCACTGAGCAACGTCAATGGAATACCTGCCAAACTGTTTTTCCACTTAATCTTTGCAGAATATCTCCGTTTAAATCGTTACAACGCAAACGTAACAACTATTTCTGGGAATATATATGGGGATAACTTTCAATATTTACTACCGTTCGTCAATTTTAGCAATAAGGAATAACATGGGACAATTTCGAGCTTCCGAAAACACGACGTAGCCACGCTGAGAGAAAGAGTATCCCAATAGATAATATTTATTTGGTGAATGTATAACATATTTACTTAAATTCTCTTATTTAGATTGAGTAAACGATTGCTTTTGTGAAAACTAGACTTTTAAAAAAATGTCTATTTTCTTATTTGAAAAATATTTTGTATTAGTTTTTAAACTGCCCGTCATTGGCTGGGGCTTCTTGTATCTAAAGCATCCACACTTGAATTATTACGAAGTGTCAAAGGGATGAAATCAGGAGAAGAAGAGGTGGAGTGTCCAGGTTTCATAGCGGCCTGTATTTCCCGCAAGGTCCTAGAGAGTAACTATGCAAAAGGTCCAGATCGGTCAAAGGGTTTAGGAGTTAATAGAGAACACATACAGGCAGACATTCTATTTTTTTATGTATATAAATTGATGTAAATATGTTATTAGCAACCGAGTGCAAAAAGCGGCGTTTCCTACCTCTTAGATTTTTCTTTCAGCGCGGCAATATCTCGATCCGTTTGTAGTAACTCTCGCGGGCGACGCGATAACGAAGAATTACCGCGTAGTTTCGTTTTCCTTCTAAATATTTTTCCGCAGAGTACATCTCCTTCTTCGCCGAGACCGATTCAATCGTTCTCGATCTCGAGCGCATCGGTAGTACCGTAATTAATTGCCGCCATATCCCCAGAGCAAGAGACACAGGAAAACACGAGCGGGAGAACACACCATCGTCGCGCGCTTCCTGGGATCGCGGGGACGTGAAATCGAATCAAATGAACATCGAGAGCGAGTCGACGTTTGCGCGGCGCGCGGTTGAAGTTTCCCGAACGTTCTCCGGCATAGCGCGAGCTATTAATAACGTGCGTGTGCGTTTCGTCTTTCCCTCCAAATCGATTACGCAAAATCAGCCGCAGACTGCCTCGGTCAGCGCAAAACACAAGAGTGCCCGTGGCCGACGCGACCACCTTCCGACGGTCTTCGTCATCTCCGATGGCGTTGTCGCTACGACCGCGGAGCGGAACGCGAGCGCAACGGGCAGCACATCCTGATTAATAATTTGTCGTATTGGCTTTTGGCCGGCGGGTAAGCCGGGCTCGAATGAAATTTAAAGTTCTATGAAACGAGCCGAATTTCCACGGCGCGGCGCGCACGGCGAACAGACTAAATTGCAATCGTAATAAGATTCTTCGGCGAATACGCTGAAAATATCGCGCGAAATATCCGGCAGCTTGCATGCAATCATCCACTCAATTACATACGTAGCCCGTCTCTCGCGCCCGTCGACTCGGTCGAGAGAGAGAGAGAGAGAAAGAGAGAGGGGGGAGGAAGGGAGGGAGGAAGAGAGGATGAAAGAGAAAGAGATTCGAGCGATCGAGCATCGCTCGTTGGGTGATAAGCCGGCACGGACTCGATACGATCGCGAAATTCGGACGAATATAATGGACTAAGGCAGATAGGAGCATGTCGGATATTATTTTCCGGCGTTCCAATTTCGCGAGAGAGAGAGACCATCCGAAGAACTTTCCTTCTACTCTCTTCTCTTCCTTCTCCCCCTCCTCCTCTTTCTCCATGTTCGCGGCATGAATCGGATTTTGTTGGGGTATTAACAATAAATTATTCGCGGAAAACCCTTTTGTGTTTTACGCCGTTAGAGATACTCTCCGCCGCGCGGTTAACGAGAACTCAAATTGTAAATTTCAATAATGAAAACGCGCGGCGGTATTGTTCGGTGATGAATCCGCGATACCCGCGAAAAGAGGAAGCGCCGCGCGCACTTGCATCTGTCCGGCTCCTTTAATTTCCCGCGATATCACAATTAGCGCGATTAACCCCGCGAAGAATTCCGCGCTTTCTCAGCCGTACTTAAAATTGATACGAACTGCGACGGGGAACGACCGCGCGTTTCTCTCGCGGCGAAAAATTTCCCCGTGGCGAGCAGGGATGGAAAACGAGGGTGAATGGGACGAGGAGGTGGAAATAGAGGAGATGGAGATCAAGAAGAAGAAGAAGAGAAGGAAGCGAAGAAGAAGAAGAAGGTCGTCACGAATTCTCCGTGAAACGGAGCGTCACGGAGAAGCGCACCGACGTCCTCATGGAACATGTAAAGGCGACGAATAACAACGGACGTTTCCGTTTAAAGAGATCGTCCGGACGAAGAAACTCACGGGCATAGTTTGTTGAATTCCTCCTTTTTCGTGACGAGACTCAGGTCGTTGTTGTTGATTCTCTCAAGGGGCCTGGCGCACCTCACGAGCTCGTCGCGTCCGCACTCTTCAGCACCTCGGCAGCTAGCGAGCACTGAAACAGAAACGCGATAATCGGGTTAGCTAAGGAGAGAAGGCGAGCTAACGGAGGACAGAAAGAGAAAGACAGAGTAAGCGAAAGACAGAGAGAAGG